AGATAGATAGATAGATAGATAGATAGATAGATAGATAGATAGATAGATAGATAGAGAGAAAGAGAGATAGATAGATAGGATGAGGTGCCACTTTGACATCCACCAAACACAAAAGACGCTTTCAACTTAATTTAAGAATGAGGGTTCGAAGTTTACTTCGACCACGTACTGTTTAATAAAGGAAAAGCATATTGCTCCTCGTGATTAAAAAAACCCACTCACCTGCAGTTGGAAGCGCGTCTCCAATGTTGTGAGAGAGATACTCACAAGGCCATTGACTGAAGCTCCCTCTACGAAGCCAAACACACAGAGAATGACCACAAACCAGTGTATCTTGGCAAATGTAGTCCTGCAGTTATAAAGATAATGATGGGTATTTAGGAAATAAGTCAGTATCTTTCAGTTTTAGTGGCTTTAGGAAACAAAGTGCTGGGAAACATGATAATGAAGTACGTAAAATATGAGAATGATCTGTCCCTGTCTTTTTATACGAGCTAGCTTTGTAAAAAATCTGTATCTTCAAAAGAAAGAAATCAGCCACATCAGTGGTTACTTGTCGGAAAGTGTAACAAAGATTTTTAAAAAAAAGAATTGAAAAATTTTAACATCACATGTCCTTTTCAAATTAGATTATTGTAATTCTTTTCATGCCAGTATTTTGAATAAATCACTCCATCGCCCTCAACATTTCGAAAACAATGCAGCTAAGCATAATATCTTTAAGAAGAAAAGAACCCACACTACGTTGCTTTGTTTTGATCAGTATACTGTGGTCAAATTTAACAAGATCCTTTTGCAATGCAAGAGTAGCAGCTTCCTGTATGAACCTAAAGATGTTTTTGAGAGTGTAAAACATTTGCCATTAACTGATTTATTCGATTTTTAGAATAGCGTAATTCTTTAAAAAACTGTTTTTAGGTAGTTGGCCTTAACAGGAATGCTCGTCTTTGGCCTTCAACTGTCAAACAGTCTTAAAGATTGCAACGTGAATTCGAGAAATTCTATATTTTGGTCCTAATCCGAGCAGATTAGATTCTGAGTCTATCCCACGCTGACATGATGAAGGATGGGCAAAAACCTACGTTGTAACCCTAAAGTCCCTCGCCAGCTATTCCTCACTGACCCCACCGGGTAGTTTGGCTTGAGAGAAAACCATTACACCGATAAAGAAAGATTCAGGAACGCTTTATCGATTCATTCAGTGGACGGCAATGGCAAATACCCCCC